TGGTACATTTAATGCGTAACGGTAAAACGTGTGTGGTTCCATGTAATGGGAAGTCTCTTCTTGAACATGCACACGAAAAATAAGATCAACAAAGCCATCTTTAATTTGTTCCACTTGGCTAGCCAAAATCTATACACAATTTGGTTTAATAGAACCAATAAGAAAATAAAGTTTACTTTCTGTGTATAAGAACATATTAGCGATTTGAACACACTTTTTTCTAGTTTGTTCGTTCTAATCTCTTTTTTTTATATATATATATATTTACATGTATCACGGATCGAAGGTCTTTGGAAGTTAGCCAAATTGTAGCTTTCAAGAAAGACCAGACTAATTAATCAATACTCTCTCTATATATGGTCTGGTATGGGTTCATATATATGGGATTCATATATGATGCATCATCACGATCAAGTCAGTTGCATGTGTATAGTTTTTTACTCATCATCATCAAGTCGATCGAAAATTTAATCATCTTTATAATTATATGCGTACGTATGTTGTGTCTCTTTCTCTATTATAGAAGCAGCTAGTGAGGCCACCGGGTTTCATAATGTTATTTTTAATTTGGACCCACTTTTTTGAATTTCGAAGACTAATGATTCTCTCCAGGAAGGTCAGAAATGAGAAAAACAATGCATGTCCTTCATTTGGTGGATGCCAATACCAACTTAATTCTTTTGTTGCACATATACATATATATCAACTTTTCATATTCTCTTTTGGTACTAATCCGAATCAAATTCAACATCTCCAATTTTCTTAGCAAAGTATATTATACCAGAACGTTAACAATCACATAACTCCAATCTAAGATATATATAAGATTAAGGTCTATTCAGATACATCTTGAGATTATCAGTATATGAGTTATAGTAGTACAGATACGAATGAGTAAATTATTCTTATTATTATTTTTTTAACAATGAATGAGTAAATTACTTTAGAGTTTGAGCTCGGATACGAAACTCAATATATGTGCATATAATTTTATTTACTTATTTATTATGACAACACAATATAAATATTATTCTCTGTGTTCTACAATATAAGATGTTTTAGAAAAGTTTTGATGTTTTAAAATATAAGATGTTTTGATACTTTTAAAATATTTTAATTTTATTCAAAACTGGTAACCAATTAAATTCTATATTATTTATGATTGGTTAAGTTATATTTAATTTATATTAACTAATAATACTATCTTCTAAAAAGTAAGTTTTTAAAAATTTTATGCACTTAAGCAAAATATCTTATATTAAAAACGGAGTGACTAGACCATCATTTTTGTATTGCCATATTTCTCATAAATTAAATAGATCATATATACATATATTAAATAATATATATGATAAAAGCACTAGAATACATATATACTTTGTTATGTACCATATAAAAAGTATCATGGAAGATTTGAAAAAGTATCATGGAAGATTTGAAAGATATACACCCAAATCTTCAACACAACGTAAAAGTGACATCGGTGGAAAAATAAAAGGAGAGGTTTGAAGATGGGGTTTGATAAGGCAAAGAAGGAAAACCATTGAATAAGAAAACTATCTCTTGTTGTTATTGTTAGATATTCTCAACCATCACTCCATCCTCTACTTCTCTTTAAATTCTTGTAACCCTTTATGAGGGGGACCAAAGACCAACCATATTCTAGGGTATGGCCAAAAGAATTTAAATCCAACAAGCTTTTACGAAAAGTTATGGGTGAATCAAACAAGAAATATCAAGTAACTCAACCTCTATATAATTGCAGTATTAGGAGAGTGTCCATACGGTTTCTTTTTCTATCAAAATCATGAATTCATATCTTGACGGTAGAGAAAAGACTCATGTTACCTGTTCTAAATCATTTCAAGAACTTCTTTGTCATTTTTATACGTCAAAAGAAAACAAATTTCATTGCCTAGTAATTCATATATGGAAAAATCGTTTATCTTTGTTTCAACATGAATGTAGTTGTCAAAATTTTTTTTGGAATTTTTTTTAAAAATTGAACTCTTTAGTTCATTGTGAAGAAGGCACATTTGATATATATGAGAAATTTGATGTTAAAGTCAGCCAAAAATAAAGTGAAAATGTTTGTTTCTAATGTCTTGTGTAACTAGAAATATAGGTCGTGTTGGTGTATACTCGTTTTGATCGAGTAGAGTATGTAAAGATTACTTAATTTCTTTCGAATAGAGAAGTTTTGAAGTTTGTTGTTGCCAATTTCCAAGTGCTGTACAAATATATTCTGTATATTATATACTATCTCTGCTTTGCCATTTAAAGCGTTACCCATCTTGTAAAAAAGTTATTTTTCAGTTGATACATACGTTCTAACTTCTAGGTTGAATCGAAGGCCGCCCATAGTCACCACAGAGTCGGGCTGAAATGTTGTACTGGGTCTCTCTAAATGGACTGATGTAAGTTTTGTCGGCCAGTTCATGCCACCAAGAGGCCCAAGAAAATCGCATAATTCTTTTTACTTTTTGTCGCCGCAAAACATGCATATTATCTTTGTTTTTGTGAACTTCTGGCAAATAAATAATTAAAACGAAAAATAAATAGTCACCGTACATACAGTGATACAGATAAATTTAAATACAAATAATCTACGATTTTCTATAGCAGTGTACGTTTTTGTATTATGTCTGGAGACTGACGCGTATGTATTCGGTAGTATGGATCGTAGAGTGGATGTGGATATAACACGTAGACTTTTAAGCCCCAGCTTTCACCTTATCTATATCCGCCACTTGGCATTAGACAAGCATGGGGCCCCCAAACTTCTTCTCTTCCTTTGTCTCCTTACGTCCCTTCCATCTTATCCGAAAGATCCAACGGCTCTAAATTGATCAAGAGAATTTTCCAATCAGTATCTGTATTTTCATAAAATACCAAATTGATCCACCAGTTTTTAACCGGTGATGAAAAGTCGTCCAACAACACCTGCAATTGAGAAAAGAAAAAGAATTGCATATTTATTTTTAATATAAGTTCATATAATGATAACATCATTGACCGCAAGAGGGTTTATTAAAAAAACAGACCATAACAACTAACATAATCATTTGTATTATTGATTGTGGATTTTGCACATAAAGAAAAAAAACTGTTAGTTTGAGTTTCTACTATGTTGATATATGTTGATATGTTGATTCATTTCGTTTATAAATTGTAGATCTATTATATTTGATGATAATGTGTTGACCTAATAAAACCTATACTAATATTGTTGATATATAAATCATTCGAATCTGAAATAAAAAAAGAACTCATCAGTTCACCACTTATGAGACTACTCACCAAAAAAGAACTATTGGACATAAGAACTAATTCCTTTGTCAACTATTAAGAACTAATTAAACTTTTAAACAATACTAGATTCTGACAGATGTTTAAAAATATTATATTATTAAAAAAATTTATATATAATTGATTATATATATTTTAATGTTTACAATATTTAATACATATTTAATATAATTTTATAGTCTATATGCATCAATTTTATTAATTATTTTAAATCATCATTGTTTTGGTTATATATATCTGTAAATTATCAGTTACTTTTTGTTTATATATTATTTACTTTATTATAATAATTTGTTATTTATGTTGAATATATATTTTTAGTTCTTAACAAATAATAAATAGTTGATATTTTTATTATAAATTTATGTACATTTATTATACATATTTTTAAATGTAAGAAATATATGTATTTTGTAATTATTCATAAACATTAATTTTAGTTTTAATAGCTTAACTTATTTGATTAGTTGCAATTAACTTTTTAGTTATGTATTTATTAAAAGATTAAGGATTTGCGCTATAAAAAGAAAGATTCTCATAACCAGAATTCCAATACAGATTAATTCCTTATAAATAGATACTAGATCTCGACCCGCACAACCGTGCGGGTTTTCTTTTTATTTATAATTTATAAAAAAATTATTAATAAATAATAATATATTTACTTATAAAATCGTACAAAATACTAAAATAATAGATGTTAAAGTATCATTTTTAAACACAACAAAACAATATAAATTATCACTAACAAATATTTATCTATAGTGTATCTAAATAAGTTTTAAAATGTATTGTATGCAAATTCCAGAAATTAAAACTCTATGTTAAATAAGATTATAATTTAATTATTTTAAATTATAATTTATGTATCAAACTCAAAAATATATTATTTAGTAATAACAATCAATAAGAATATGAATTAAAATATATAAAACAAATTACTATATATTAATAATGAGAATAAAAAACTTAAACAACTAAATTATAGAGTTATATAATATGAACATTAAATGTAAATCATATATTTAATTTTTTTATAATACTATCAAAGTGTTATATTTAAAAAAAGAAAAAAAAATTGTGTGGGTTAAACTCTAATATATAGTTTTTTATTTAGGATTTAGGAATATCTAATGCTATCTAGATAAACTTTAATATCTTAAACAAAAACATTTGTATTTCAAATAAAAGATAAATATATGGGATAATATTATGGAAATACAATTTAAAAAGATGTCAAAAAGATTTGGTTGAATTTATTTCATTTGTATTTCAAATAGAAAAATAAAGATATTTAAAGATATTATCATTAAATCATGTAACATTTGATAATCTTCATAATCTTCTTAAGGAATAGTCCATTTTTTAAAAAATCACACATGAATCTAGGTTGTGACTTCTCTTTTAATATATAAGATGTGAAATATTAATTTTATTAATACAGTTGAATTTTAATAAATAACAAGTAATTCAATGGATAAAGATATAATTACTGAAAGAAAATTAAAGGATATTTCAAATTTGTACATCAGTTTTAATAGTATAGATACTATTGTTATGGTAGCTTTCAAAACTAAGGGTGTATAATATTAAAATGAGATAAAGTACGAGGACTAAATATAAATTCCACCACAATACCGTATCGAATGAAGAAAATAATAAAAACGCAGGAAAGAAAAAAGAGAGAGAGAGAAGCGAGTCGGTATTATTATTAGATAGAGAGAGAGAGGGAGCGAGCGATCAAATCGATCCCATTCGAAGCGAAACTCTAACTTCCTCCTCCCCAAAGAAGAAGAGACGTTAATGGCGGATACCGTCGAGCTACCGAGTCGGTTAGCGATTCTCCCATTCAGAAACAAGGTTCTCTTACCCGGCGCCATTATTCGAATCCGTTGCACTTCTCATAGCAGGTTAACTCCCACCTTCTTCTTCCTCACTCCTTCAACAATCGACTTGGATTAGAAGTTAGGGTTAGGGTTCGGTAAAATCTAATCGAATTGGATTAGAGTTTCTGTACAATCGTTAAATTGACCTTGTTTTGTGAATTTAGTGTGACGCTAGTGGAGCAGGAGCTGTGGCAGAAGGAAGAGAAGGGGTTGATTGGTATTTTACCTGTTCGTGATGATGCTGAGGGTTCTTCAGTTGGGACGATGATTAATCCAGGTATTGATGAGAATTGATTTGATGATGAGTGTTTTGTGTTGGTTTAATCTCTTTTTTGCCTTAGGTGGTGGTGGAAGTGATTCTGGGGATAGAAGTTTGAAGTTTCTTGTTGGTACAACAGATGCTCAAAAGTCTGATGTTAAAGAACATCAGGAAGTTCACTGGCATAGCAGGTTCGGGTTTAGGATCAGCTGATATGAATGTTGTGAAAATTGAGAGTTGATTGAGTGGCTCAAGGGTTTATATGTGGTCTGATGTTTGTTTTGGTTTTGATTCTCAGGGGAGTAGCAGCTCGTGCTCTGCATCTTTCCAGAGGGGTGGAGAAACCGAGTGGAAGGGTTACTTATGTTGTTGTACTTGAAGGTCTTAGTAGGTTTAATGTTCAGGAGCTTGGAAAAAGAGGACCATACTCTGTTGCGCGGATTACATCGCTCGAGATGACTAAGGGAGGTGAGATATGTTATTTTCCTTTGTTGATTTTGGTGATTACCGATGTCAAAATTTTATTTTCTTAAGAAATTCAGCTGTTTGTATAATACTATGGTAATAACCCACGTATTCTGCTGCTTAATCATGCATTTGAGTTTTTTTTTTTTTTTACTGAATGAATTTCCTGCCTCTTTTAGAAGACTTTGAAAACTGTTTTCCTTTTGATAGACTTACATATTTTATAAATGTTGCTCTCCTTTGATTTCATAAACCGAAAAATGTAAGCGTTTAAAAACTGTTTGAGGGTAGAGATTCTCACATAAAATAGTTTTGAGTCAGAGCTTGTTTGGTAGTTATAGTATTTCCGGCTTATTTCAGGTTGGTCATTAGTTTTTAACTTTCTATTGCATTTGTTACATGATAGTCCATTGATGTCTTTTGTTGGTTCCTTTATGGCCATCTGCAGAGTTAGAGCAAGTGGAACAAGACCCAGATTTTGTAGCACTGTCACGTCAGTTTAAGACCACTGCTATGGAACTGGTTTCTGTGCTTGAGCAGGTAGCTCTAGTGAAACTGGATTTCTGTTTTTGGTTCCTCCTCTCTCGAATTTCGTTGTTGCTTCACGCTTAGAGTTTGCAAGATTAATTAAAAACTTAACATTGAATATATAGTTATTTGCTTTCACGAAATTTGTTTTTGATCTGTCTATTGGATCAGTTGTTCAGTATTCATCTGATTATCTTGATGAATTAGTAAGTGATGCGTTGATTCTGTTTTTTTTTTTTCAGAAACAGAAAACCGGTGGAAGGACAAAAGTTCTATTGGAGACAGTTCCTATTCACAAACTAGCAGACATCTTTGTTGCTAGTTTTGAAATGAGTTTTGAAGAGCAACTATCTATGCTGGATTCAGTTGACCTTAAAGTTAGACTCTCAAAGGCCACTGAACTTGTTGATCGGCATTTGCAGGTAGCTATTAATATCCATAAAGTCTGTCCTGTATTTTTCCTCTCGCCATTATGAATTCATTTTGATGTTTACTTGTGGCAGTCAATTCGTGTGGCAGAGAAAATTACTCAAAAAGTGGAGGGTCAGTTGTCAAAGTCACAGAAGGAGTATCTCTTGCGCCAGCAGGTTGGGTTTTTTTTTTGGCACTCAAGTGTCCATCTGAAAGGTGCTTGTCCTAAGTGGTATGACAATTAAACTTGTTTTGTAGATGAGGGCTATCAAAGAAGAGCTTGGTGACAATGATGATGATGAAGATGATGTAGCTGCACTTGAAAGAAAGATGCAAGCTGCGGGAATGCCATCTAACATATGGAAACATGCTCAAAGGGAACTGAGGTATGCTGTGCTAGAGGAAAATTGCTGATTGTTGTGTGACGGTGGACCAACTTGAAATAATTTCCGTAGCTGTAATTTTCCTTTTTAAATTTCCTAATGCAGGAGACTAAAAAAGATGCAACCTCAGCAACCTGGTTATAACAGTTCACGAGTTTACCTGGAGCTTTTGGCTGATCTTCCTTGGGAGAAGGCAAGCGAAGAACATGAGTTGGATCTAAAAGCAGCAAAAGAACGTCTTGACAGTGATCACTATGGTTTAGCCAAGGTCAAGCAACGGATCATTGAATATCTGGCTGTTCGAAAGGTTGATTGCTTGTCTTTCTTTTTCTCTTTTCGAGTGATCCATCTTTAGTTTCCCGGTTTTATATTGATCTATAATTATATACTGCAGCTTAAGCCAGATGCGAGAGGCCCAGTTTTGTGCTTTGTTGGTCCACCAGGTGTGGGTAAAACATCTTTGGCGTCATCTATTGCAGCTGCGTTGGGTAGGAAATTTGTTCGCCTATCTTTGGGTGGTGTAAAAGATGAAGCTGATATTAGAGGACACAGAAGGACTTACATAGGAAGCATGCCAGGGCGCCTCATTGATGGGTTAAAGGTGAGTGTTTTTCTTTTCTTACGAAAGACACATATCTAAGTGATGCTTAAAAAATCTGAAAGAAACTTGGGGATGTATTTTGAAAAAGGAACTAAGCTGTAGCAGATAAGTTTGGTCGCTGTATGTCTGAGTGTCTGTCTAACCTTGAAAATTACAAGTGAAAGAAAGTCTTATAGACCATGAAAATGATTGCCACTTAACATTTCTGAACGAGCTGTTGCAAAACTGCGTTGTAGATGCTTCTAATATGTGAATGTCTTGTTTGACTACACTTATTCATGCTGGATGGTTTGTTATATCTTTTTTATCAATAGCTGTTTCGCTTTATGTTTTTATTATAGAGGGTTGGTGTTAGCAATCCAGTTATGCTGTTGGATGAGATTGACAAAACAGGCTCAGATGTTCGGGGTGATCCAGCTTCTGCACTGCTGGAAGTTTTGGATCCAGAGCAGAACAAATCTTTTAACGATCAGTATCCTATCAAGTTTCTCGTGAAGTTTCGTTAGTTTTAAATGTCGCCTTCTCTTAGGCAGCAACCATATTCTTTCATAGATGCGCAGTGATGAATCGATTGTGCCCTTAACTGAAAAACAGCTATCTGAATGTTCCATATGACTTATCGAAGGTGGTTTTCGTTGCCACTGCGAATAGGGTGCAGCCTATTCCACCTCCTCTTCTAGACAGGATGGAGCTAATAGAGTTGCCAGGTTATACGCAAGAGGAAAAGCTTAAGATAGCAATGCGTCATCTGATTCCTCGAGTCCTAGATCAACATGGACTGACTTCTGAGTTCCTCAAGATTCCTGAGGTACACTGTTATTTTGATAATTCTGATGCAATGCTGATAATCTTTTCCCGTGGGTGGGCTTATACAGTTTCTTATTTAGTGTTTTTTTCTTAATATATTGGCCGTAGGCTATGGTAAAGAATATAATTCAGAGGTACACAAGGGAAGCCGGTGTTCGTAGTCTGGAAAGAAACTTGGCTGCTGTGGCTCGTGCAGCTGCTGTGATGGTCGCAGAGCATGAACAAACTCTTCCACTGAGCAAAGATGTGCAGAAACTTGCTTCTCCTCTGCTTAATGGTAGAATGGCCGAGGGAGGCGAAGTAGAAATGGAAGTTATTCCAATGGGTGAAAATGATCATGAGATTGGAAGTACCTTCCAGAATCACTCAGCTTTGGTGGTAGATGAGACCATGCTTGAAAAAATCCTAGGGGTAAAGCTCTCATTTACTCTATTCACTTCAAAATATCTATATAGCGGAATGCTACATTGTGATAACAATATGATATTTTTGGAACTTAAGTCTTGTACTGTTTTTTTCGGGTGAATGCAGCCTCCAAGGTTTGATGATAGTGAAGCAGCTGATCGAGTGGCGTCAGCTGGTGTTTCGGTGGGTCTCGTCTGGACTACTTTTGGTGGAGAGGTCCAGTTCGTGGAGGCTACATCCATGGTGGGCAAGGGCGAACTGCATTTGACTGGCCAACTGGGTGATGTTATCAAAGAATCTGCTCAATTAGCTCTTACATGGGTAAAAGACTTTCTCACTTGCCTGTATTTACTATTCAGAACACGTAAAATACTTCAGAACTGTTTTAGTTGATCACTTATTGATGTTTATAGGTAAGAGCCCGTGCATCGGATTTCAAGCTAGCACTTGCAGGAGACATGAATGTTCTTGATGGACGAGACATCCACATTCACTTTCCTGCTGGTGCTGTGCCGAAAGACGGACCTTCAGCGGGAGTGACTTTGGTGACAGCTCTGGTTTCGCTTTTCAGTCAGAAACGAGTGAGAGCAGACACAGCTATGACCGGAGAAATGACACTCAGAGGTCTTGTCTTACCCGTTGGTGGCATCAAAGATAAGGTAAGCCGCATATAGTTCTAGCCAGCCCATGTGGTAGAAAAAAAGTGAACCTTGGGAACACTATTTGAAGTTCTGTTTTTATTTCTTATAATGTATAAACAGATATTGGCTGCACACCGTTATGGAATCAAGAGAGTGATTCTACCGCAGAGGAACTCGAAGGACTTGGTTGAAGTACCCGCCGCTGTACTTTCCAGCCTAGAGGTAAGATTTTAAACTAGTCTTTCGACTTCTTCTTGGTATTATATTATCTTTTAGCCCAGGTCTGGTTCTTCTTTTGTTTTCTAGATGGCTATGTCCACTGTCAACCCCCTAAACAAGAAAATATGTTTGGGTTTTGCTTTTCTATAAAAATACATAGAAACTAGATTCTGGACAGGGTTGTTCAGTGATGATGTAAATTGGTATAAATGGATGTTGGTGCAAAACAGGTGATATTGGCAAAGAGAATGGAAGACGTTCTAGAGAATGCATTTGAGGGAGGTTGTCCATGGCGTAATCACTCTAAATTATGACAGACACGACACAAAGTCCCAAAGTTCTCTCGTCTCCATGACCCGCAGACCTGTCTTTACCATTTGGTAAGATATCATCAGAATGTCTGCATCTCTCACTCATATCTCTTCTGTATTGTAAGTTTGTGTATGTAATGAGCTTTAAATTTATCATCTAATTTAATTTACTTCTCTCACAAATCAGTACTCTTAAAGTCTTAATATTTGGTTTATTAATCATGATACGAGTTGTTCGATTTTTTTTTTTTTTTGGCAACATACGAGTTGTTCGATATTTGAATCCCTTTGAAATAAATCATATATTTTTATGCCACTCTAGCTGCAACATTAATATTTTTCACTTGATCAAATGAACAGTCCAGGAAAATTGGAAAAGTGAGCGTTTTTGGTATCGACGTCGTTCCTATAGGGTTTGGCATTAGGGTTTAACATTTGGGTTTGGGATTTAGATTTAATTTTAGAATCTAGGGTTTATGATAGGGTTTAGTTGATGGTATTAGCGTAAAAGTAATTTTTTTAAGGTTTAGGATTTGATCTAGGATTTCTATTTAGGTCTAGAGTCAACGGTTTAGAGGTTAGCTGATGATATTAACATCATTATCATAGTCTTCTTTAACTATTTTTGTATTTTTAATTAATATGACATGTCATTTTAATTGGTGACAAGAGATAGAAGTAAATTTGATGGTCATCATAGGAGATGAAACTAAACTTTTGTTCTTTCTGTAATATGCTTCAAATTTTGGGAGCATTAACGTTAATATTTTGTCCCTGTTCCGGACCGGCTTGGATGAGGTCTACATATGTATACTCAGATGCCATAAAAAACAAATGATTGACTTGATATGTCCTTATGACTAGTTGATTTTTTCTGTGATCATGTATCAATATAAATATTTACTCAGTAAATAAATTATAATAACTAATTAATATCTATACTACATTGAAATTGTTTTATAATGTAAATATATAAAATGTTATTTAAATAATATTATTTTAGTTATATAGTTTAGTATGATTAATTGGGTTATTTTTATTGTGTATATTAGAATGTAGGAGTTTATTTACTAAACCCATCTATTTTTAAAAATATGAAGATTAATGTTGTTGATTATTATACTAAACTATAGTTAATTATGTCAAAAAAACTATTGTTAATTATCATACTAAAACTAATATCTTTTTGGTTGAGTCGATTAAGATTTGTAGAGATTTATAAACACTAAGCAGGTATTTCTCTTTATAAAAATTGAAAAGAAGCTGAATCATTGATAGTTTGGAGTTGAAAATCAAACCAAACATATAATTTATAAAGATTTGTTGAAATCTGTAGATATTAAGCATGTAGTTCTCTTTAAAAAATAGAACAAAAGTTGAATTATTGATAGATTTGGAGTTGAATAATCAAACCAAACATACACAAGGGGGATTTGCCAAATATGACTCAAAACTTGATTTCAAATGCAAAAGTGTATCAAAACTTAAATTAAATGCAAAAATAGCTCAAAAAGCTAGTGAAATTACAAACATTCTCTCATGACCAAACAAAAATACAATATTGTAGTTTATCATTATAATTTGTGAGTGAGAAGACTTTCTCATGCTGTAAATCTTAAAATTAATTTATAAATTTTAAGAAAAAATATTTTGCTTAGTAAAAAGAGTATTTGCACTCCATACACACACTAAACCTCATAATTCACTCCATACCCTATTTCTTCCTTTATCTCTCCTCCCCACACATTACTATTTTCTCCACCAAAAATGGCAAATCCCTAATTTCCCATTTTCTTATGGATTCCTACCCAATTCACTCTAGTAAAAAATCATAATCATGTAATTATTGACATTTATAAATGATGCAAATATATTTTTAATAAAACTGAATAGTTTTCAAGATAGATGAGTAATATAAGTTTGTCATGATATTCTTTGGTTTATGGTTTGGTAACTATATTGTAGTATTGTATGTGTTTTTAAAATTAGATTGTGGAATCTTAATTTTTTTTTTAAAGTAAAATTTTGCTATGTGTTTAGTTTTGTGTAGATTAAACACTATATAAGTTTAATTTAGTTTGATAAACTTTTTGTATGTGATTTAGTAATATATATTTGACCTCTTTGATTTTAGGGGTTTTTGAAGACTTATGAAGACTTAATAAGAGTTTCCCGCCTAAAATTCTTAAAAAAATAGGTTTACGCTTAAAATTAAGTCTTCCAATGTCTTCCACAGTATTCCACAGAAAGTATTTTAAAGTATTTCAGGAAAAGTCTTCTAGTATATTAGTTCTTAAAATCATTTAGATATTTCATAAAACATATTTTGATAAGAAAAAAATCATAATCATCTAATTATAGATATTTGTAAGTTATATAAATTTAGACTTAATAAAATTGAATTTTTTCAACATAGATGAGTGAATGTAACAAAACATGATATTCTTTGGTTTAGGGTTTGCTAACTATGTTGTAGTATTGTATGTGTTTTTAGGGTTAGATCGTGGAATCTTAACATTTTTTTTAAAGAAATAGATTTTAACTATATGTGTTTAGTTTTGTGTAAATTAAACATTTATAAGTTTAATTTAAGTTTAATAAAGTTTTTGAAAGACATTCGAAGACCACAGAAGACCTACTTAAGGTCTTTTAGTAGATGTTCCAAAGTCTTTTTAAGTTTTCAATAATTTACTATTTCCCGCTCAAATAGTAAGTCTTCTGAACGAATAGTAAGTCTTCAAAGTAAAAGTCTTCTCGGTAAATAGTCTTCTAAGGTCTTCTAAAATATTCTGTATCAAAAACATTTAACCTAATTCGAATTTTTGTCTTCCCATATAAATAAGAATTTACACATTCTTTTTTTTCCTCTCAAATGGAGGTAACAAAAATGTAATATTTCTCACTCTAAATTCTCTAACCTCTCTCTAAACTATTTGAATTTGATAACACCAAACATTATATCAATTTTTCATTTGTATGTGTTTCTCACTATTTTATCTTGTTTTTGTAGGTTTTTCATTACATATATGTCATTTTCACTCATTTAAAGGTAGATCTATAAATTTTTGATATATATTTTTTTGTCTTTTATATATTAGATTCTAATAAGTTATAGATTCAACACAATGTGATTGTTTTATTTATTATTTAAGCTTAAAAACATTGTCTTTTGATTTTTTTCTCTGTTTTGATGTTATTTGAACGTTTTTGGATATGCAGGTTTTTGCAGATCTGAGGCATACATTGGAAGACTTACAGAAGACTTTCCTGGTAGTCTTCTGACGTCGTCTTAAGTCTTCTGACGTCGTCTTAAGTCTTCTGACGTCGTCTTAAATCTTCTGACGTCGTCTTAAGTCTTCTGGCATAGTCTTCTTCCATGTCTCCTCTTTTACAACAGATCTGAGCGTTTTGGTAAGTTTTCATGTCTGATTCTCTTCATTTAGTATTTATAGTTCCATAAAGTTCTTATCTCTTTTTCAAACTAAAATTCTCCAACCTCTTTATAATCTCTTTAAACATAAAAACATCAAATATTATATCAATTTCTCATTTTATGTGTTTCTCACTATTTTATCTTGTTTTTGCAGGTTTTTCATTACATATTTATCATCTTTCACTCATTTAAGGGTAGATATACAATTTTTTATATGTATTTTTGTGTGTTTTTATATGTTAGATTCTCATAAGTTATAGATTCTACATAATGTGATTGTTTTAGATATTATTTATGCTTAAAACCATTGTTTTTGAAGTTTTTCTCTGTTTTGATGTCATTTGAACGTTTTTGGATATGCATGTTTTTCAAATCTAAGACAAACATCAGAAGACGTTCAGAAGACTTTCCTGGAAGTCTTCTGACGTCGTCTTAAGTCTTCTGATGTCGTCTTAAGTCTTTTGGTGTAGTCTTAAGTCTTCGGACGTAGTCTTAAGTCTTCTGACGTAGTCTTAAGTCTTCTGATGTACTCTTAAGTCTTCTGGCGTAATGTTAAGTCTTCTTGGAAATCTTCTCTCATATCAAGTGGAGTCCAAGATTGTATTTGTGGAGGAATGATCTATAAAGTTTTATTTGTGGTCTATTTTGTGATTTGTATGTGTACTCTTTTGTTGTGATTTTTTTTTTGTAAATTTGAAAAAATATTAATAGAAATATGGTAAATATGTTTATTATCCAAAATTACTTTCCATTTTAAAGTAACCAAGATGTAAGATATGTGCTAACAATGTGTTTTCCACTTTTACAAATCAAGGAAATAAAAAACTTTATTGGATTTCAGATTCAAAACATGATGTTCATTGTGTAGTTCTTCTCATCTTTGGATCTTCCATACTTTACAAAAAACAATATAAAATTTGTAACTATAAACAACTTCTTCTCATTAACTTACAATGGTTATTCATCACTTTAAACTTCTAAGAAGTAAAACCAACAAAGCCTTGTAAGAAGTAAAACCAATAAATTTTATAATTATAAACAAATAAGATATAATGAGTTGGTTAAGTCTTCCAACTTCATTTTCATGTACACATTATATACTTCTTGAAATTATTTAACACTTTTGAAAGTTAAAAAACTTATTTTAAATGACTGAACATTCTAAAAAATACAAATTTACAAAAACTAATGTGGAAGACTTCTAGAGCCTTCGTTGGAAATCTTCTATCATTAGCTATAAAGATTAAAAAACATGAATGTTCGTAACCTCATAATTATCACCAATTAAGTGATGAATTTTATTTAAGACCCCAAATATTGTCTAAAACACATGAATTAACAATAAAATATTAACAATTCATTTAAATTTGAAGAAAATACATTTTCGTAGAAGACTTACCTGGAAGTCTTCCCAGAGAAAACTTTCAGATAAATCTTCTGGCATAAGACTTCCATGTAAGTTTTCCGGTTAGGTCATTTTTGCAATTGAAAATTTGCAAGGAAGACTTTCAAAGAAGTCTTCTCTATATGAGACTTCTCTGGAAATCTTCCTATGTAAATATTGGCTTACTTTTCTAATACAAAAATTCTCGAAAATACATAAGTCTTCTCGGATAAACAGGTTAGTTTCGAAATTGATCAATTTGTGTCAGAAATTTGACTTTCTACGGAAGACTTTCTATGGAAGTCTTCTTAACCTTTACATTAAGTCTACGGAAATCTGCGTAGGTTAGTTTTGCAACTGACTATATTTGACTTTTGTTGAGAAGACTTACCTGTAAGTCTTCCGGTCAGAAGACTTACAAGTAAGTCTTCGTTGATTACCTTATGTTTGACCAGAATCACGGAATAAAAATCTAGAAAACTTATCTAGAA